AGAGTGAAATACTCAATGGAGTAAATCAGCCTCCCTGTAGTGGGTTCAATGGAGGTATCAAATTGCACCAGCTGAAGATTTAACTCTGATTGTTCTGGTGTTGTTTTTTAACTCTTCTTTCTTTTCTTCAGTATTTTATAGTTCATTCTGCATCTCCTGGTATGTTTTTCCTTTTTCACTTTTATTGACATTGATCATTAAAGCTGGAAAAATCACAAGCATATCATGGTTTGCATATACTTGAAATCAATCTATACCAATGTGCTCATATTAATTATCTTACATTTATCTGATATCTAACATTTTATGGAGCGAATTATCTCCCTTCTGCATTGCCTTGTGTTAACATGCCTTAAAGGGTTGGGGGTTTTTTTTCATTCAGAAATATAAAAGAGAACTAAACATTAGCTGTCACAGTGGGGGGGACATTTGGCTTTCTCCAGAGTGTGAAGGGGAGAAAGATAAAGAGAGGTTATTGTAAATTGTAGTGGACAATTGCATAGCCAGTTGCTGTTGCATTGCTGTCTATTGTCAGCTCAGAAACAACCTGCATTTGAAATGTTTTAGCCTGAGGATACCCACTGTTCATAAATCAGCCTTTTAGCTGTGGGGACAGCCCAGAGACCAGACATCCTCAAAGATTTATAACCTTCCTGCTACAAAACTGATTCTGGGTAGACATAGCTAGCAAAGTACAATGCTGTATTGTGTTCTTCTGTGCTAGAATACCCCATGAATCTCATTGGTATACACTCATCCGAGTCCTAAATTCTAAGAAAGTATACAAAACCCCCATTGATCAGTTGGGCAAGCTGTCAGGTCAAAGCTAATGGTGCTCTTGTTTGTGCCAATCTTCCTTACTCTACTGGTCTCATTTTGTTTATCTCTTGCACCTGGGTTAATTGCTGCAATCTACCAATTCAGTTGGTGCAATGGGATGTAAATGAAGTACGAAGAAAGAGGGAGGAAGATCTGGGTGGGCTATACATGCATTCAGAAACGCAAAACCAGCTGCATCCTTCAGACATCCAGGGCAACAAAAAAGTATATACTTAAAATTAAAAAGGTCTCAATTCAGTAACAGGGCACAGATTATTAATATTTTTGCTGACCAGTCAGATTGAGACACATCTCCATCAATGTCCTGAAGAAATAATAAATACCATTAAGCTACTATGTCTAAGATAGAAGAAATTTCTACATATTGTCTTATCAGCAGCATAGCCTCACTTTTGCTACAAATGCATCATATTATATTCTAACATTATATCATGTTCTAAAATTGGTAGGGCTGCAAGTATAATGTTAATACAGATTCTGACATATGTACTTGATGATAACCCTGCAGGTGACAATGGCTTCACAACTTTATCAGATTAAATACAGAAACTACATTCTTGGTACCTACCTAGCCCACCAGCAGTGTCCTTTCTAAAATGGCTCTGAGACAGATAATTCAATCATATCTTTGTGCTGCTCCCTTACTCTTGTATTTGTTAACATAATCCAATTTATAGATACAAATGATAGCAACAAGGGCTGGGTTAAGCATATCTAAGGGCCTTATTATACATTAATTTTAGCTCCTGAAGCTCTTAACCCCTGGATTGGCCACACACTGGGTGTGTCTACATGTCGCCCTACAGTGACGTAGTGACATGCTACGTCATACGCCATGCCTTAATACGTCCAAAAGAAAGTACTAAAGCACAGCGCTGTAGCAATGGTGCCATACAGCAATGTGTAGATGCACCCATTAACACCTAAAAATAGTTTTAAGCACACTTCAGGCAGCTTAAAGTTACACCACTCCAGGGCAGGTTTATCTCTGATCCAAGTTACTCAGCTCATATGTAGCCACTCTGCACAGATGAGCCAACCAAGTTGTATTCCTCCAGCATCCGAGGATGCAGTGTCTCCTCTCCCAGCCTCCTGTTCTGTGTTGACAAACTTTCTACCCCTGGAACTCCACTGCCGGGAGGGGGGAGTTTTCTGGCACCAAGCAAACTCCGCCTCCCATTCCTGGGGGTGTCCCACTCCCAGGGGTGCAACTTTGTGCAAACAGTCTGCAAAGCACATGCCAGCTTGCTAGGTCACAGAACATGGACATGTCCAGGAGTGGGATCTAATGGGAACCTATAAGCTGAGGCTTCCTTCCTGGGAAAGGGGCAGTAGTTAACCCTAAAGTTCCTTCCCTCACTGCTCCCAGCTCCCAGCCACTCTGAGAAGCACAACCAGCACTCCCAGGTTCCAAATCCTAATGTATTAAAGCATGAGACCTTCTTTAATTTTTTCTTCTTTCTAATTCTTATTTTATCCTTCAGTGGCTGACTTCCTTCATTTTACCACCCTTCCCTCACCGCCATTTCCTTTCCACCTTCCATTCTGTTACCTATTCATATCCCAGTGGTGACGCATAGGGGATGCACAGGGGTACACGTGCATCCCCTGAGAGTGTGGTGCACCCTGTGACAGCACCGGTGCACCCCCTGACAGGCTGCGCTCCCCACTTAGGCAATGGGCAGGGAGAGCAGGCACGAACTAAAGTGCCGCATCTGCGAGCGCCAGCCGGGGAGTGGGAGCGCCGGATGAAGCACTGCAGCCACTTCTGGGAGCCCCACGGCCACTTCCTGGTTGGTGCTTGCAGGTGGGGCACCCTCCTGGTCACTGACTGGTTGCTGGGGGGGCATGTGCCCTCCCTGACTAAGGCGGCACCAGTTGCCCATGCCGCATCCCATTAACTCTCCAGCTCCCATATTCGTGTTCCTGCCCCCACAACCCATCTCTCACCACACTCCCACTTACAGCAGGGATAGAAGCCTATCCTGGCTCACCAGCTCTGTAGCAGCAACTCATAGTTGTGCAGGTGGTGGACAGTTAGAGAAAGTTTTTAGTCTTCAGATGCATCTGCTCCAAACTTGAACATAGCACTGGCCAATCAACATTTGAGCAGTTCAATGTGCAACTTGTAACAAGGGCCTTTAAGGGTCCTTCTGTCAAATATCTTTGGCTCAAACCCCTATCTCCTGGAATATTCTTGGTTCAAAGCTCTGGGAAATAATAATAAAGCTTCCCTGGTTGCCATTACAGGCAGTTTTTCCTTCCTCACAAGCACACATGAGTCCTTTGGGAACAAGGACTAGGGGAATCCTTTCAATCTAGAAAGAAAGGGGAGTGCAAATAAAAAACCCATGAAACAACAGTATATACAATTTGTATGCAAGAAGTTAAGCAACCCAAATTAATACACCAACAGTTTGGTCAATACCCTCTCTCTGATAGTAAAAATCCAGTTTATAGAGATCCAGGACCTTCTCCCACTACAAATTCCACTTATTAAAAATCTCACTCACAGGTTGTGGTGGCTTCAGTGGTAACCAAAAATATGTGGGATGGCTCTCCTTTGTTGGCCAGCTTCAGTCTTCAGAAAATTACTCCTCCAGGACTGGTTCAGTGATTTCAACTTCACTTCCACCAGTTAGGTTGTCAGAGACACTGTCAAAACAGCTCAGTAACACCAATAGTAAGATGGCCAAGACTTTCTGTAAAACAATCTGCTCTAGACTGCCAAAAGGGCCTTTTCCAGGAGTCAGATCAACCCCTCCATTAGTGATAACTCAAGCAGGCCTCCTGTTTAAATCCTTCACTAAAGCTAGGAAATCTCCTTGTAGGAAATAGAGAACCAAACAGGACCTTTGGACAGAATCCCTACTACCTCATACATACATATATCTAAGTAAAACCTCCAGTTTTGAAAAGCTTAGTCAAGACAGGTAAAAACAGTACTATTTTCCTCATTTTGCATATTTGGAACTGAAGCAAAGAGAGATTAAATAACTTGAATAAGGTAATAAAGTCTATGTAAAAGTTAAGAAACGTAATCAGATCACCTACCTCTCAACCCAGCATCTTAACCACAACAATCATGCTTTCCTTCATTTGAAAACTTTTCTTACCTTTGTCTTCCTGTTTAACTAGTTATTATACAGGTTTCCCTCGCTTTATGCTGTAACGTGCATTCCTGGAAAACAGCGCATAAATCAAATTCGCGTAAAGGTAACCCACTTTACAACGTAACAAATAGGGATACATTCCAAGACTTCGACTGTACTGACCCCCAGACCCATTTCTACCACTTTTAGAGGACAATTTTGGTACTTGCCAACAGCAGACAGTACACACAAGGACGGGGCGATCATAATGGGGGTGGAAAATACAGAAACGTTGCAGACAATGAGCGAGAAGCACAGATCCACACAGGAGACGCACCGCACAAAGCAGCTGTCTGCAGGCTTCCACCAAACCGATTGCATAAGAGTGAATTTACCTCACATACAACAAATTTTTGGTATAAAAAGGGTCATTGTATAATTCACACATACAGAATCCACATAAAGCAAGGGAAACCTGTATATCAGCATGTGAGAGACAGAGATACAAACCTTTGTGACAAGGTAGTTCCTTTTACAGTTCAAGATTTCTGACATGACTTAAAGTGGACTTTTTGAAGAGGAATATTCCATTTGTCACATCTTCATCTTACAAACAGCATCAACAGTGGCTTTCTGATGTAGACACCACAAAGGCACATTTAGTTCTGAAGCAGCCATTCTAGAAAGGGTGGTTTGAGAGAGAAGCCTGCTGATGCTGCCACGACCAGAGGAACTGCTTGGAAATACAAGCAGTGCCACTGAAAACCTTCAGTTTTATGTTAATTAAGCATTATATTTCTAAACTGCTTTACAAGTAGAGTAAAAAAATGAAGAAGCTATGGTTTATTAAGTACCTCTTTGCCAGTATCCTTCAAAATACATTTGAAATACATGTTTAAAAATCTTTCTGGAAATAAAATACATTGAAAAGTCTTTCTGGAAGTATCAGGACTTGCATTTATTTGATATCTAAGCTTCTGGAGTCCTGGGCACATTCAACACCTATGTCTTGTGTGGTAATTATTAACTATATCTGAAGCTAAAATATTCTCTTCTCTTTTCTATTAGCACTTACAATAAGATGTGGGCAGAAGCCCAGGAAGGCCTCAACAATCTGCTCCAGACAGAGATAGAAGATAAGTCTCCAAAACCACTGAAAGATCGCCCAGTAGTGTTCCAAATGTTAGCCACTTTCTACATCAAGTATGTGCAAATCTTCCATAACTTGGAAACTGCCTATGACCAGATTGTTCATCCACAAAAACGGTTAGTGATTCGGCAAGTCTTGGAAGGAGTGATGGGCCGTATCCTGGAGCTGAAAAATGAAATGGTCGAGTTGGAGAACTCAGAATTCCATTACTTTGATGATATCCTGCAGGATCAGAAACTGTGCCCTGTATGTATATTTTTTATCATAAATAGGTTAGAAGTATAGAGTCCTATATTCTAATGTAAATCCATGTAGTTCTGCTGAAGTCAACTACATGAGATGCACTGATATCATCTCATCTAAGGATCTAGGCTAGTATATATCTGCAAGGTAGTACTAGTAAAATATAAAAGCTAAACTGAGTGTTAGTATAAGTAGCACAGCACCATCTACTTGAATCAAGCTACACCAGCGTAGTTTAGTAGAGGACATGGCTTGTTATATGGCACCTAGTTTATTGCATGATAGGTACTTATGGTACTTCAAAAATATGCAGAATATATGTGTTCTAGCAGGGACTTTTTGCACTGCAGCAGGCTTCTAAAAGTCAGGCTGCTTAATCAATATCCTCTGTTTCTATGCATTTGTAATAACACTGAGGATGGTGCTCCCCTTCCTTATTTAACTTGTTCATTCTGAGCTAATGTGAAATCAAAATACCACAGTAAGCTTCAGTGAGAGTAATAGCATCACAAATTCATTCATAATTTACTGTAGGATCAAACTGGAGAAGCTGAGCCACTTATGATCAAATGACAGCCAGTTTGAAATCTCACTTTGGTTTGCTTCTTGCCTGAGGTGAATTAGTTTGAGCACTTGCCTGTTTCATGCCATGTCCAGATGAGCACAGACATTTGGTTCCCTGGGGACAAGTAGCAGCAGCACACCTTGCACCACACCTATTTGTCCCTAGGGAACACCTGTGCCATTCGCACTTTGGCACACAGCAAGTTACCCTGGCAGTGGTAAGGGAGGACGGGAACAGCATCTAGGATCTTGGGGGCCTCCCAGGGCTGCAGCAGTGGTGATCCTGCTGGGTGGAGCCTGGCTGGCAGCCGCAGCATGGCTCTGGGTGACCCGGCTTCACTTTTTAGCAGTGCACGCTGCCCATGCATGCACTGCTCTGGGTTTTTTTTTTCAGGGGTTTTTTTTTGACTCCTGGATATCCTAGGTCAAAAAAACACATGGGGAAAAAAACAGAGCAGCGCACACATGTAGAGAACATCCTTGCAGTGTGGAGAACACCTGACTGTGAGATACATGGCACTCCAAATGTGTTTGCAGCACCACATACTGCATGGCTGCGCTTATCTGAATGCACCCTCAGAAGGGAAAAATAAAATTGGTTGTGATCCAGTAGTTAATTTTCCAATTTGCCATATATGAAATCTGGGCCATATCTTTAAATGCAAAGCAAGTAGGGGCTAAGCTAGGAGCCCATTTATTTTCTAGGAAAAAGATTTGCCTTCTGCCTTGTTACAATAATCCATATAAAAACTTAAAAAAAAGCTCTCTGAAAAACAACCTAACTAAACTTCAACCCAGATGAATATGGTTGTAACATAGAACTTTGCAAGTGCAGGTAATAAAAACTGGTTAGAAATAAAGGCCATTCATTTGATAATTCCTTTTCTCTCAGACAGCTCCACCTATTGTCAAAGTTGCGTACTGTAGAGAATAGCTTTTCTAAAAGAAAAATAGATTTGTAGCTCAAATGAGTACTAATTTCTAGATCTTAGCTTTAATGTAAAATAAATTGCCTAGAGGTATCTTTTTAACTTATTATAACATTCATTTTTAGGTTTAAAAACATTCGAGCTTTAAACTATGTATTCATTTTGTCTTGCAAATTATGTAATGTGTATATTTCAATCTAATCTTTTTGTGCTATTTTAATTATATGACAACTATTTTAGCCATCAGACAGAATATTAAAGAATGTGATGACATCACTGCAGTTGATAATTCAAACTACATCACTACATGATTAAAATTACCATATTTAAAAAGGTTAATGTATTTTCATGACTTCTAAGTCCACTAAGGGGAAAGAGTTTGAAAATCTGAAATATAAAATATTTAACATCCAGTGTTAAAAAAAAACATCAGCATAAATTCTTGACTCTGTTCCAGACATTATCACTAAGGTATAGCTGACAAGTAAAAGGTACCACTGAGACTCCCAAGGTATTTTTTTTAAAATCTGTTCTTATCAGTGAATGCAACATAACTTCTATTATATCATCTGTAGCAACATTGGTTTCCTTAGAAAGGTTATGCTAATTGCTCATAAAATGACTCCAGTTCCTTAAGTGACCTGTTCAGAGGTAACTTCATGCAGTGGCCCTTATTTTCATTAGTGGTGAAGGGCTTGAAACCCAATATACCAATAGCAATAGTGGGCAATACAGACTTTCAAAATTGTGGGCATCTTCTGTTGTATGTATGATGCCAAAAAGAAGCTGTTGTTATTATTTCCTTGCCACTCAGAATTCAGGCATTATATTTCTCCCATCCTTTGCATCACCTTTTATAATTTAACTTCAAACATGTGCTCTGCCTGCCTCTGGAACTTGTATGGGTACTTTTAAATGCATTTATATTAACAACTTCTCTGATGTTTCGTAATGCTGTGTTCTACAAAGTGATTCAGAATGAAATGCAGGATTTACTCTTTGCTTCTTAATTCCTCCTTAAATTGTGCAGAAATTTTCCAGAGTGTTTTATAATTTACTAGAAGGTGTCTTACATCCTTGAAATATGTGAAATGATTGATTTCTTGATCATTCTCAGTGGTAGCTCATGAATCACAACATAAACATAGTGTGTACATCTCACTTCGTGTTTTAACAACCAAAAATTTTGCTGAAGCAGAAATTGTCTTCTGAACCTGTTGTATGGAAAGGCTCATCTCACCAATTCTAGGGCCCTCAGGACAGAAGTCTGCTTATGGACTTGAAAACAATAGAGCATATGTTTCCCTTCTGTGGAAAAAAAGCACGAATGAGACACTCATGTAAGAACATCTCTAGATAACCAAGAGGACAGCTTGAAACAGCAGGTTGAATGCCAGTCAAAAATTAAGATGTTGGAAGGAGCAGAGAGCAGTAAC